ATGTCATCCCATGCTTTAGTATAAACATAGAAAAAAGACCTCTTGCTGTAACAACAGTTTTTAAAAGTTGGTAATATCAGTTGTCCTTTTGTAACATCTAGTTGAATGACCACTTCCAGAATTTGATTTGGGCAACAATGCACAGAGAGTTCCATAATTGGCACCTTGGAAGATCTGAAAATATAAATTAATACCACTATACAAAACGTGATGGACGTTTTGGTGAAACCTCTCAGATGCTGGAGCTTCTCTGGCGTCCTTCAACATGTTTAGAGTTTTTCTGGTTTTTATAAATTTTCTTTAGATTTTTTTGTAATAATCATGATTTAATTTCGGAGACATTTATGAACAGAGCAGTTCTTACGTCGCTCTCCAGCAGGTTGAACATGCTCTGCTCTGCGATCTCYTTGCTCTCGTCAAACTTCTCCAGCGCCTGCTTGATCTCGTCRTCCTGGACCTTCCCCTGCCTCTTCTTCTTGTAGTCGAAGTCCAAACGGCGGCCTTCCATCTTCTTCAAATGATGCTGCGTCGCAGGAGGAACCATTTCAGAGAAGGTCCGGCTTTATTCATTACACTTTGCTACATGCTGAGGAGTTCACGCACCTGAATCTCCTTCAGGTCTTTGTCGTGGAGGTTCTGCAGAGGGTCGATGAAGTTCTGCTTGACCTCCATGTCCAGAGCATCTTTCACCTCCCCAAGCTCCTTCATCGACTCGCCGGCATCCATCAGAGCCAGTCCTGGATGAAGTTAGAAGATTATGAAACATAAAAAACATTCTGATTCAGTCAGCAGCGCCGGGAGGAGACAGGAGGCTGCTTCTTTTTACCGAAGCAGGACTCCTCTCCCAGCTCTCGTCCAAACTTCAACATAGCCTCGCCCAGAATGGTCTCGGCCTGGGGGTAGCCGGGTCCCTTTTCCTGCCCGCGGATCTTAGACATGGTGTTGATCATACTCAGCTTGGCTCTGGACGCTGCGAGGAAGCAGAGGTCAGAGGTCAGGAAMWGGAGTYGTGTYTYRGTGCTGCAGCAGCTGAGGGTGAGTTTCATACCTGGGTTGGGCTGAAGGTACTCTGTGGTTTTGGTCATGATGTCCAGAACTGCTCTGCTGGTGATGTCCACCTTCTGCAGGAGACAGCAGGACACGGTGAGACACTCAGACCTGATATTACTGCAGGTCATACTGTTTAAACATTCATCAATGTTTTTAAACAGACTGTTTACGTTCTTTTCTTTTTTATAGACAATATGAATTTCTTGAGTTAATTTGACTTTAATGCAAAGATTAATTTATTATTTTCCAATTTATTTATCAGCAGATCTTCTCCAAACAAACAGCTGAGATAATTCAAACATTAGTTTGCTATTTTTTGTGTAAAATGTGAAGATTTGATGCAACTTCTTGGTATTTTCTACAAAAGGATCAGTTAAATGAGTCTTGTTGTTTTAATAAAACTGTATAAAAATAATAATAAAAGTCTTCTAAGAAAATAAAATGAAGATAAATAAAATAAACGACCTTCTCCATTTCTTTGAAGTCATCGTCGAGTTTGGTTCCTTCTGCTCCTCCGACCTTCTCACTGACTTTCTGTGGAGGTAAACAAAAACACAAAGTGTTTAATAATCTCATTTATCAAACAGTTTAAAGCTGGAAAATAAAAAATCCAAACCCATCGGCTGCTGTTCAGAGAGATAATGGAGATTAAAATCTGCTGCGAGACGAAAGCAAAAGACCAGTCGAATGATTCATGCAGGAAAACCAGGGTTCAGAATGAGAACATGACTCAAAACCTGACCTCACAGGTCCATTCCTGACCCTGACCTCACAGGTCCATACCTGACC